TCAGTTGTGATGTTGTATTCTCCATATCAATGGTCTCCTACGTCAGTTGTGATGTTGTATTCTCCATATCAATGGTCTCCTACGTCAGTTGTGATGTTGTATTCTCCATATCAATTGTCTCCTACATCAGTTGTGATGTTGTATTCTCCATATCAATGGTCTCCTATGTCAGTTGTGATGTTGTATTTTCCATATCAATGGTCTCCTACATCAGTTGTGATGTTTTATTCTCCATATCAATGGTCTCCTACGTCAGTTTTGATGTTGTATTCTCCATATCAATGGTCTCCTATGTCAGTTGTGATGTTGTATTTTCCATATCTATTGTCTCCTACATCAGTTGTGATGTTTTATTCCCCATATCAATGGTCTCCTTCGTCAGTTGTGATGTTATATTCTCCATATCATTGGTCTCCTACGGCAGTTGTGATGTTATATTCTCCATATCAATTGTCTTCTACGTGAGTTGTGATGTTGTTTTCTCCATATCAATTGTCCTCTACATCAGTTAAGATGTTGTATTCTCCATATCAATTGTCCTCTACATCAGTTGTGTTGTTATATTCTCCATATCATTGGTCTCCTACGTCAGTTGTGATGGTGTATTCTCCATATCAATTGTCCTCTACATCAGTTAAGATGTTGTATTCTCCATATCAATTGTCTCCTACATCAGTTGTGATGTTTTATTCTCCATATCAATGGTCTCCTACGTCACCTACGTCAGTTGTGATGTTGTATTATCCATATCTATTGTCTCCTACGTCAGTTGTGATGTCGTATTCTCCATATCAATTGTCTCCTATGTCAGTTGTGATGTTATATTCTCCATATCATTGGTCTCCTACGGCAGTTGTGATGTTATATTCTCCATATCATTGGTATCCTACGTCAGTTGTGATGTTGTATTCTCCATATCTATTGCTTCCACGTCAGTTGTGATGTTGTATTCTCCGTATCATTGGTCTCCTACGTCAGTTGAGATGTTGTATTCTCCATATCAATGGTCTCCTACGTCACCTACGTCAGTTGTGATGTTGTATTCTCCGTATCATTGGTCTCCTACGTCAGTTGTGATGGTGTATTCTCCATATCAATTGTCCTCTACATCAGTTGTGATGTTATATTCATTGTCTCCTACGTCAGTTGTGATGTCGTATTCTCCATATCAATTGTCTCCTACGTCAGTTGTGATGTTGTATTCTCCATATCAAGGGTCTCCTACGTCAGTTGTGGTGTTGTATTCTCCATATCATTGGTCTCATACATCAGTTGTGATGTTGTATTCTCCATATTAATGGTCTCCTACGTCAGTTGTGATTTTGTATTCTCCATATCAATGGTCTCCTACGCCAGTTGTGATGTTGTGTTTTCCATATCAATGGTCTCCTACGTCAGTTTTGATGTTGTATTCTCCATATCAATGGTCTCCTATGTCAGTTGGGATGTTGTATTCTCCATATCATTGGTCTCATACATCAGTTGTGATGTTGTATTCTCCATATCACTGGTCTCCTACGTCAGTTGTGATGTGGTAGTCTCCATATCTATTGTCTCCTATGTCAGTTGTGATGTTGTATTTTCCATATCAATGGTCTCCTACATCAGTTGTGATGTTTTATTCTCCATATCAATGGTCTCCTACGTCCGTTGTGAAGTAGTTGTTAGGTATTTGTGATGTTGTATTCTCCATATCACTGGTCTCCTACGTCAGTTGTGATGTTATATATATCAATGGTCTCCTACGTCAGTTTTGATGTTGTATTCTCCATATCAATGGTCTCCTATGTCAGTTGGGATGTTGTATTCTCCATATCATTGGTCTCCTACGGCAGTTGTGATGTTATATTCTCCATATCATTGGTCTCCTACGGCAGTTGTGATGTTATATTCTCCATATCATTGGTCTCCTACGGCAGTTGTGATGTTATATTCTCCATATCATTGGTCTCCTACGGCAGTTGTGATGTTATATTCTCCATATCATTGGTCTCCTACGGCAGTTGTGATGTTATATTCTCCATATCATTGGTCTCCTACGGCAGTTGTGATGTTATATTCTCCATATCAATTGTCTTCTACATCAGTTGTGATGTTATATTCTCCATATCAATGGTGTCCTACGTCAGTTGTGATGTTGTATTCTCCGTATCATTGGTCTCCTACGTCAGTTGAGATGTTGTATTCTCCATATCAATGGTCCCCTACGTCAGTTGTGATGTTATATTCTCCATATCAATTGTCTCCTACATCAGTTGTGATGTTTTATTCCCCATATCAATGGTCTCCTTCGTCAGTTGTGATGTTATATTCTCCATATCATTGGTCTCCTACGTCAGTTGAGATGTTGTATTCTCCATATCAATGGTCCCCTACGTCAGTTGTGATGTTATATTCTCCATATCATTGGTCTCCTACGTCAGTTGTGATGTTGTGTTTTCCATATCCAGTATGATGTCTCCTCCCTATATATTGTCACCCTCCCAATATTCATTGTAGACTGGACTTCTGCATGTGTCTGGAATCAAGTTATGTTTTTTTCCCCCCACAGAACTGGACTCAAATCCAAAAAGTTATGATGGAAATGGATAGTTATTTGGACAGGACACTTGGAGTTGCCGACGACAACCAACATGATGAACTGTGATAGGCACAATCGCCATAGCAACCAATGATATCAGGATGAGCTACAGTAATCCAGTCAAATACTGTCAATATCACAATGGTTATTAGGTTTAAGTCAAAGCATGATTGCCAAAGTATAGAATACTTAAAGTTCAAAGACATCATTGATACCATTGTAAGTTATCAGCATTTTGATATTTCAGTTTTCTTTGTTACATAACATCATAATGCAATGTATTAACACTTACTTAGTTTGTTTATATATTTATATGATGTCACTTGGAACAGTGATATCATAAATATGACCAAATATGTCAATTATGACAGTGAATATGATAAAAAAAATCTCAAACTTTTTCCATTCCATGATATTATGATATTTATGAAACTAATTGAAGGTTGTTTTATAAAAGTCATAATAATAGGAACGTCTTTGAGATCCTTTATTTATTTTCGTAATATTTTTTTAAATGATTTGTTCAGTACTGTTACAGAGAATTATTTATGTTTGCCAAAGGATCTGTGTACTTCCATAAAGGTGTATGTGAGTGAGGAGTATTTATCTGTGAACTCTGTACATGTGTGTGAGGAGTAATTATCTGTGAACTCTGTAGATGTGTGTGAGGAGTAATTATCTGTGAACGCTGTAGATGTGAGTAAGGAGTAATTATCTGAAAGCTGTAGATGTGTGTGAGGAGTAATTATCTGTGAACGCTTTAGATGTGTGTGAGGAGTAATTATCTGTGAACGCTGTAGATGTGTGTGAGGAGTAATTATCTGTGAACACTGTAGAGAACTACCAGTGCTGTGTGAGGTAACGAGACTTTAAATTCTGTAAAGATTTACTGTGAGGTAATAAATGCTATTAAGGTTTACTGTGAGGTAATCAATGATGTAAAGGTTTACTGTGAGGTAATCAATGCTGTAAAGGTTTCCTGTGAGGTAATCAATGCTGTAAAGGTTTACTGTGAGGTAATCAATGCTGTAAAGATTTACTGTGAGGTAATAAGTGCTGTAAAGGTTTACTGTGAGATAATCAATGCTGTTAAGATTTACTGTGAGGTAATCAATGCTGTAAAGGTTTACTGTGAGGTAATAAGTGCTGTAAAGGTTTACTGTGAGGTAATAAGTGCTGTGAAGGTTTACTGTGCGGTAATCAATGCTGTAAAGGTTTACTGTGAGGTAGGGGATGTGTCTTGTGTATAGGTTTACTTGATGAGTGTTATGCAAGCAGATTTACCTGATAACATGTGCTGTAACGATCTCCCAATGTCTGTGATATATTTTATGATTCCCGTTATATTTGACTGTATGCAGTTGGTACATGCAGTGATACTTTACTACAAGGTGTTGATGAACCCAGCCAGTCATACAGGGTGTCAATATGTACCAGGGCGTCATTATCTGTGAACACTGATACTAGGGCTATTATGTCTCAGCAATGTAGAAATCCAGGTTTCTTTTGTAACACCTTAGTCAACTCATTATAATAATTTTAAGCCAATGTTACCTGACTAGGTTAATACTTCACTTTGTCGGTTTTGATCTTGTGTTTTAAGGTCTACCCAAAGAGTGCCATAATTGTATTGCCCCTTATCTGTAATGTTTTTGGCTTTTAATTTGGTCACGAATCTCATGTGATCGTTAAGGTCCCATGGCTCTCTAATCTTGTAGTCAAGGAATAAGGCATTTTTCATTGTTAGCTCACCTGCCCGAAAGAATTCTGCATTATTTTTCAACAAAGTGCTCATATCAATTAAGATCCATTTTGATTGTTGTGGTTTTTCTAAGCAAAACTGTAAACAGATATTATATGCAGGACATGCATTAGATTTAGATTTTAAAGTTGAATTTCCTGTTAACACCTATATCAGTAGGGTATTCAGGAATAATTTAGGGCCGAGTGTGCCAGGGAACTAGTGTTTTCAGAATGTAATGTATATATTTTTAAGATGAATTGCCATTCCTGTGCATGATGTGTATAGATGAACCTCAGTACTGACATACAGTCTACAAATCATATGTGTGATTTGAGATTATCTCTTGAAAAAGTTTGTTCAAAGACTTATATTTTTCGCCATTGTCTAAATGTTGATTGTAATATTTTAGGTCATCAACGAAAGAATTGAATTGAGGTCAGCAATTTCATTTTTATCACAAATATATTGCACAATAAACACTTTATACATTTACAATTTTTTGAGTTATACTGAAATTATTTACCTAATTACAACTTTGGATCAATTTCTTTTTTTTACCTATACCCCGTATGACATTTTGCTGCTGAACTTTTGTTCTGTAAGGACACTATGACACACTGATGATAGGCTGATACATAATGTTGGTCAGAATGCTGAAGTTATACATGTTCTAATCTCATCATTATTCAATTTCTAACTTAACATTAAACAGTTTCATGTTGTCATTTACCATAATCATATCATCATAAAGAGGATAACAAACACAGAGTTCAGTATTCACATGATTTATTCATGTCATCGAACCACTTGTACACAAGTAAACATCAGTCACTCTGTCATAACATGTACATTACCTTGACAATGTATCATACAATGTACATTACCATGACAACCAATCATAAGAAGTACATTACCATGTAAAATCATAATATATACAGTACAATGTAAAACCAACCACATGCTTACATAACCGTAGCAACCAATCATGTCTAGACTTTATCATCACCTCACCATCATAACATTACCATGGTAACTTATTATATGATAATTGATAATTTTACCATGGCAACCTATACCATGACAATATTACCATGGCAACCTATACCATGACAATATAACCATGGTAACCTATTATATGACAACACTACCATGACAACCTATACCATGACAATATGACAACTCCACCATGGTAACGTATGATATTACTACATAACTACTATCATATAATCCTGAGACCTACAATAAAATTACCATGGCAACCTATTACATAGTGTCATGGTAACCTATCACACCATCTACTGTTGTAGAAAGCACTCAGTCTAATGTACACTGTACCATAACAATATATCACTGGTTTCATACTCTAATTGTAGTGCCGTTGCTGCAAGGCTGGGGTGTGATGTAATAAAGGGTGTGGTAGACCTGGACTAACATGTTGTGTATAAGTCTAGCAGGATGGGGGAGTGTATAAGATGTATATGTCCTGCTTCACAGGAAGACAATGACATTATTAGACTCGTAGTAAGTGATGTCTTGAGTAAGTCCGATCCTGTTGAACTATCTGGATTCAAACCATTCTTTTTGTATTAAACTGATTGTATCTGGTCTCCCAAAATATTAGCAATTTCAGCAATAGACATCCATATATAATCTTTACAGACGTGGATACTTAAATGTCCATCCATGAAATAAGTTATTTTTCAGAATCCCGTTGTTGTATAATTAGACATAACGGATCCCGAATATGTTCCATGTTTCCAAATGTTGAAGGAACCAAGCAATGGCTGTCATCAGGTGCCATATTTAAACCATGTATCAATAAGCCAAACCTTTTTTCACTGTGTATATGCTAATTTATGTGCAGTCAGAGTTTACTTAGCTAGTGATGTAAATATATGTAGTTGAAACTGACAAGGGAAAATGGAACAGGGCTAGAGCAGCTAGTGTTTAACAAAGGACCTCTGAGCTAGATTGGGCTACCTAACCAACATCTGGCAATACAATACACTTATTTAAGATAAAGGTTTGCAATGACACTGGACATCTAATGTATTCATATATATCCTATCTATATAGACCTTCTACATATCTTATGAGAAAAGTGACTCACTGAATATAATAGCATGTTTACACAAGTAACAGAGGTCCTTATTTTTCCATTGCCTCTGCTAGGAGTTGAACCCCAGACCTCTGGTTTACTAGTCTTGTGCTCTACTGAATGAGCCTAGGAGAAATTCTCCCAAGCCAAGTTGGTAGAAAGAAGCTAGTATTTTACCAGGGTGACATACTCCCCCTCCAGGACAGAACTGATGGTCCGGAGTTTTCCAGGGTGAATAGCAATTCTTGTGAAAGTATTGCTGAATATATTTGTCAATATTAACCAGGTCTCTACATTGGGGCCAATGGTCATTATTTTTTCAATGGCTCTGCTAGGAGTCTAACCAGGGGCCCCTGGTTTACTAGTCTTGCACTCTACCAAATGAGCTGAAGATAAATTATCCCTAGCCGAGTCTGTAGGAACTGGCCAGTTTTTACCAGGGTGACAGAGAAACAAAGATAAATCAAATTCACTGAAAATTTACATTTGTCTTCTTGAAAAACAAACCGACCAATTTGTCAGAAACAAGCAGTTGACTCATTACAATACTGATATGTCACTCTAGACGATGATTCCAGGTCTACCATCAAAACACATAGAATTACCACTAATTCCCCTTAACAACTTACAAGCTGTCTCATAATTCTGATTAAGGGAAGTAACTCAATGTAATGTACAGTCAAAATACAACAAAGTCACCCATAAGAGGCAAGAAAGATAATTACTTGGCATGGAAATCATGTAAAATCATAACACAGGTCAACAGGGCCTGTATTATATACTGCAGTCCTAAAATCTGGCTAGTATTTGGATGATTGATATCTGTCCTTATTTCAAAAACAACCAAATTCAACAACAAGCCATATTTATTGAGGCAATTTTTAGTCTGGGTTGATCAAAGGGAGGTAATTAGGTTGAATATAAATAATTTAAGGGAAAACAAGTGATGTTGCTAGATTTTGGAAAAGTGGGTAAAAATTACATCTCATATCAAGAATGTGAATGTACAAACGGTCCATGGACACAAAAGTAAACATTAATTTCTATTACATATATATCTAAAAATATCAACACACTTCCAAGGTCAATACCTCAAGGTCAGCCACAACATGTATATATCCCACATTCAAATTGCATCAATAAAATCAGCATTTATTATAAACAACAAGAGGACCAATGGGCCTGCATCGCTCACCTGGTATTAATCTCACACTTGTAGATATCAGTGTTTGATTCATAAGAACCAATATTTTTTTTTAAACATATGACACCTGTGACATTGAATGTCGAACAAGGACATTAGGTTGAAAGTGGGTCAAGGTCATTCATTTGAACAAACTTGGTAGCCCTTCATCCCAGCATGCTACAGGCCCAATATAAGTACCCTGGGCCTTTTGGTAATTGAGAAGAAGTAGTTTGAAGATTTTAACATATTTGACCCCTGTGATCTTGAAAGTGGGTCAAGGTCATTCATTTGAACAAACTTGGTAGCCCTTCATCCCAGCATGCTACAGGCCCAATATCAGTATCCTGGGCCTTTTGGTTATTGAGAAGAAGTAGTTTGAAGATTTTAACATATTTGACTCCTGTGACCTTGAAAGTGAGTCAAGGTCATTCATTTGAATAAACATGGTAGACCTTCATCCCAGCATGCTACTGGCCAAATATCATCAGCTTGGGCCTCTTGGTTATTCAGAAGAAGTTGTTTAAAATAAAATATTGAAAAATTTATATTACAATATTGACGCTGGACGTCGCACCACGGCATAAGCTCACTTGGCCCTTGGGGCCAGGTGAGCTAAAAATTAACTGTGTGATAATTCTTATCAGTCATTGAGAAATTTATCATTCCCTGTGATACCGTCATTTGGTATCCACCTGGAGCAGACCACATCTCATATTTCTCAAATCACACATACTGTAATACTTCTCTGATCACATGTCTTACACACCTCTGGATAACTATCTTTGTGAAAATGACTTAAAACTTTAAAACTGAATTAACATAAGCTCGAAATTAATAAGGAAAAATGCATGATGCTGCCACTGGCAAGAGACCTAAAGGCCTATATCCTAAAGGAGTATAAAAATTGACTGAGGCAGAAAACGGAGAAGAGTTAATGTTATGACAGATGTTCTCACAATATATTACAAATGGTCTGTTTCTATGTACAGTAGGTATGTCTTTAGATTTCCAAATAAAAGAACATACTAAGAATATGAGATGATATGGCTAGCATTCAAAGACATTAGATCTGGTGATTTTACAAAATGTACATTCTAAATTATTATTGATGTTATTTTTTTAGAAAGTAAGCAGGTAAAAGTCTACATTGAAGGGTAAATCAGAAACAGCATAGAAATTAACTGGTTTTACAAGTTAATTATGTAATTATATTTTTGTAAAGTGTGATATACTTTACAAGTTTGATAAATCACGATAAAGTACACGTACGTAAAATTGTGATTGTCTTTAATAGTTACCGGGACTTGTAGATAATGTTTAATATGACATCACAAGTAAAACTGCCCTCTGTTTATCATGCAATATATGGGAAAACTTAACTACTGTTTCAATTGTACCAGTAAAAAAAATTCTGTTTGTCAGGAAAACAACAGAAACTGATTGATGGTAACCATGGTAACAGTTAAATGCTGGGAACCACGATAACTGAAGATAGGCAGTGGTAAACATAAGCAATAAAAGTATACAATTAACAGGTACTCTAACACAAAATTTAGCAATTGCAGGTGACACAGTTTTTGCAAAATTTTCTGGACAATGTTGCACAAACATTAACAAAGGGCCATAATTCTGTATCTAGTCAGACAAATGACCCAATTTTAATATGCAAAATCTGGCGTCACAAGAGGTATTTATATACAAATTTGGCGATCTGTCAGATGGATCACTGACAGAGAGTGTAAACCTACAGTGACTACTGGCAGGACCAATTAACAATGGAGAAGAAACAATATATTACTATCCCAAACAAGTAAAATACACTATTGAAAGTGCAACCTATGGTTTGAAAGCCGTATCTCATACACCCCAAATAATCAATAATTCACATTTGATCAGCTTCTGGAAATACTTCCCCAGAATGCATCCTGACCTTAGCAAGGATAAGTCACTAGTCAAAACACCTAGCCAGTGGGAAGTTGGAGGAGTAATGGGTAATGGGAGGTCAAAACACCTAGCCAGTGGGAAGTTGGAGGAGTAATGGGTAATGGGAGGTCAAAACACCTAGCCAGTGGGAAGTTGGAGGAGTAATGGATAATGGGAGTAAATTAGATAACTGTGACAAGATTGGAGATGTTGGAGGATCACAGTTATAAAGGTTATAAAACTTGTACGGTTGGCAGGTAACATATTATAAATGTAATCAAGCTTTTATTATCCTCTTGTTGGAGAAATTCACTTTAATTGCTAAAAATTAGGGAAGTTGATAAAATCCCAAAAAGGTCATGCAAGGCAATACAAGACTTTAAACTTCCAGGCTAGAGCATTAGACAATAGTAAATTTGGAAAGGGCAAAAATTTAGTATTTGATGGATCAAATTAGATTTTGTCACTGTGATTGAAACTTTAACCAATTCAGATTCATTTAGCATTATACAGAGTCATTGGTTGATTGTTGATCAAGGCTCCTGTGATAATGAACAGTCAATACCATCAACTACATATAGCTCCAACTTAACACACCTCAACATAGCCTTTTCCGTGGTGGCCTAGTGCTTAAGGTGTCTGACCGTCTATGATAACTAAGCCCTCCACCACTGGGCCATGGTGGCTGAGTGGTCAAGGTGTCTGACCATCTATGATCACTAGCCCTCCACCACTGGGTCATGGTGGCCTAGTGGTTAAGGGTCTGACCGGCTATGATAACTAGCCCTCCACCACTACATAGAGGGTTCAAGGCCTATGTGGGGCAGTTGCCATAAACTGACCGTCGTGGCTTTTCTTCCGGTACTCTGGTTTTCATCCTCCATCAAAACTTGACATGTCCTTAAATGACCATAGCAATTAGCATGATGTAAAACACAAAAAAACCCGAATCTGAGTCTTCTCTGGTCACAAGAAATTCATTATGAATCCTTTGGATTTTGAAGAAAGAATTACAATAATAAGCATCTAATATTTGGACCTATCGTTTATCATATAACAATTGTTTTAAACAAAATAGAAGAATTTTAAATTTTGAGGAAGTTAAAAAATAGATTCTTTACAAACCATTAACTGGTCTGTTTCAGATGCATAAACTGAAGGAATGTATACTGAAATCTTTGCAGTGGTATCTAGGGGAAATGAATCAAATTAAGTTAACTGATATTTTGACACAAAAAACAGTGTTAGTGACTGTACTGAGATTTTACACCAATCATTAAAAGGTAAAACAAAATAGAAAATACACTATTTACAAATCTGAGGATTCTCTCGTAAACAAAATATTGAAAATATATTAATCAACCAAAATGACCAAAATGGTTCATTTAATGAAATTGGCCCCTACAGAACTACAGTTACAAAAGTGAAACAATTAACTACCATGTACTCAGAGTGAGATTAGGAAAAACAGCACTTAATTGTTAGAAATTAAAAAATATGCTCAAACAAGTTGTCAAATCATGCATCTCTGACAAAAATTGTTGAAAATGAGATTTAAAATTATGAACAGTTTGCGATATATTGCCATGTATTTTTCAATGAAATACAAAATGTACATGATCAAATACAAAAAGAATGATGTTTTAAAATTCATATAAAAAGTTATGAATTTTTCTAAGTGAGTGACATCCCAATGTACAATCAGCAACCTGTCACATCTGGTACTGCCATTGGGTTGTTGAATTAAAATAGAATATTTTTTTAATCTTAAACATTGATGACAAGAGAATACAAATTAATGTGATTCTACTATCCCCTTGTGACACAAAGTAACAACAAATTATTTTTATGAGGAATACCTTTTTACAAATGAATTCTATTTGAACTTTTAAAAGTGACAGGATTGATATATATAAGAAATTAAAAGGTGAAAAATCTATTGCTTTCCTCATCCATACACCAGTTATCATAATGAAACAAAAAATACTTATGGATGATTTAACTATTAGTTATCCTCTCTTTAACAATACATCTTAACACATACTCTAAACTGGATATAATTCAAACAAATGTGGAAAAAAGGCAAATTCAGAGAAAGAACAAAGTTACATGTTAGAAATGTGAAGGCTGTTTGGAGACTGAGACATGTGAAGGTTGAGTATGTGAAGGTAGAGTAGAGACATGTGAAGGTTGTTTGGAGACAGTGGCATGTGAAGGTTGTATGGAGACAGAGACATGTGAAGGTTGTTTGGAGACAGATACATGTGAAGGTTGTTTGGAGACAGAGACATGTGAAGGTTGTTGTGAGACAGAGACATGTGAAGGTTGTTGTGAGACAGAGACATGTGAAGGTAGAGTGAAGGTTGAGGATGTGAAGGTATAATAGAGACATGTGAAGGTTGTTTGGAGACTGAGGCATGTGATGTGCAAGTAGATTGGAGACAGAGACATATGAAGGTTGATGTGTGAAGGTAGAGTGGAGACAGAGACATGTGAAGATTGAGATATGTGAAGGTTAAATATGTGAAGGTAGAGTGGAGACACAGACATGTGAAGATTGTTTGAAAACAGAGGCATCTGAAGGTTGCATGGAGACAGAGACATGTGAAGGTTAAGTATGTGAAGATAGAGTGGAGACTGAGACACATGAAGGTTGCGTGGAGATAGAGACATGTGAAGGTTGCACGGAGACAGAGACACATGAAGGTTGTGTGAAGACAGAGACATGTGAAGGTTGCATGGATACAGAAGGTACAGTTGAAACTGAGACACATGAAGTTAGAGTGGAGACTGAGACACATGAGGTTAGAGTGGAGACTGATACACATGAAGGTTGCGTGGCGACTGAGACACATGAAGGTTGAGTGGAGACTGAGACACAAGAAGTTAGAGTGGAGACTGAGAAACATGAAGGTAGAGCGGAGACTGAGACACATGAAATAGAGTGCTCACTGAGACACATGAAGGTTGAATGGAGACTGAGACACATGAAATAGAGGGGAGACTGAGACATGTGAACGTTGCGTGGAGACTGAGAAACATGAAGTTAGAGTGGAGACTTAGACACAAGAAGTTAGAGTGGAGACTGAGAAACATGAAGTTAGAGTGGAGTCTGAGACACATGAAGTTAAAGTGGAGACAGAGACACATGAATGTTGTGTGAAGACAGAGACATGTGAAGGGTGCATGGATACAGAAGGTACAGTTGAAACTGAGACGCATGAAGTTAGAGTGGAGACAGAGACACATGAAGGTTGCGTGGAGACTGAGACACATGAAGGTAGAGTGGAGACTGAGACATGTGAAGGTTGCGTGGAGACTGAGAAACATGAAGGTAGAGTGGAGACTGAGACATGTGAAGGTTGCGTGGAGACTGAGAAACATGAAGGTAGAGTGGAGACTGAGACATGTGAAGGTTGCATGGAGACTGAGACACATGAAGTTAGAGTGGAGACTGAGACATGTGATCAGGTTGCGTGGAGACTGACTAACATAAAGAAAACCTGTCCATAAATGATAACTTTAATATATTTTATACTGATTTCAGATTTCCAAAGGACACCTTTTGATACATTTAAAGGATATCCTTGACACATTCCTAATACAGTTTCACTGTAGACCAAAACACCTTCCGGATACCTGTGTATAAATACCACCACTTGACACACACAGGCTTAACCATATAAACAAAACAAGATGGATACATGAGATATGTAAACATGAGCACTAGAATGGTGATCTGGTGACAGAACAAACTAACAAGCCTATAAACACACTATGTACAGCCTCAACCCATATAATTATGACTGTGTAAAAACCGCGCCCTCTCTCAAACACTCATGACAATGATAAACTATCAAATAGGCACAACAAACAAAAAACAAAGATCTATAATACATTTTTTGAACATATATATTAATGTTTCTTTGCAGATATATAAATGAAAGGAATATGTGGCAGAGCTGAGCACCTGCTTAAGAATTTCAATTATCAAAGACTGACCTTATCTAATTTGTATAAAAATCATGTCTTAAAGAATTACAATTTTTGGCAGCTGCTGAGCCTGCTATTATTCCTAAATATATTAAATACTGAATGATCCCAAAAATGGAAAAAGCTTGGAATACTACCCTCTTGGGACAGGTAATTAATTAGTTACGATGACTATCTATTTGCGTTGTATTTGGTTTGTAGTATAAAAATAAGGCTCCGCCTGGGTGCTACACTATGGAGACCTTCTGTATGCGAGGGGCACGATTACTAGTCCGATTGGCATTGGAGAAGTTAGGAGTCTGATTTGGGGTGCCACCTTGCACAGGGGTACCGGGGTTAGCAGGAGTCCCGGGAGTACCAGGGTTGGATGATTTTGATATTTGATTTGGTGTATGACTGGGCGTTTGGTGTGGTGATGTCACTATCGTCGTACGCCCGTCATTTTGGTCCGTTGTTAACAGACGGTCTGTTGTATTACATGAGGAAGCTGCAGCAACATATCGCACTTCCACATGGTCGTTTGCAGGAGGTTTACGATCTGGTCGAAACTTACGACGATGGTAGAGGCCACAAATGACTAGAATGATGCAAAAAAAGGATGAAATGGAGGCTCCGATAGCAATGTGGAGAATTTCAAACTTGCCGACAGCAGGACCTGCGAAGATAAAAATAAGATGTTAAAAGTAATTACGTAATATATCTGTGACGGGCAGTGTCTGATGGTTACATCAACCTGTCCCTACAATTACGTCACGCAAATTAGTAAGTTATCACATGACGTCAGGACGCCACACTTACTACACACCAAAGGGTTTATGTACGACACAAGCAAACTACCCCCAATTATAACTTGTGTTTAGCTGACAAGGTCCGTCTCTGGCGAGGTGCCTGTTCATTAAATTACTAGACTTCTACACACAGATGCTTTCTATGGTAAATGAAGCCTGGCACCAATAAAAGATATACTTACATCCAATTAGTGGGGAGACCGCCCAATTAAGTAACATAATAGTATCACCCAGAACATCATAGCTTGTACATAGAATAAACTGTTACCATAGCAACTATGTGATAAAAAATATTTCAAATCAAGTGAATGAATCATAATGCAGATATGTTGTTTTTGATTTACTATAGAAATACAATTAAGATTGAGGAATAACACCACAACTTAGTAAATGTACATACAAATATTAACTGTGTCTACATGTTAGTAAATAGATACACAAAGAAGTAAGTTTATCAGTAAGTTTACCTGTGCAGGAACCTACAAGTGAGTAGAAATATACCACTGAAATATCTGACAACAGTCAGTACCAGTAGATGGGAGGTCAGTGACAGAGGTTGTTTAAGGGTGACAGAGTTATAGCTATATTAGTCTAGTTATATATATAACAACAGATACACAACTCCATCATCATTGCATTATACTTCATGCTAATTTCCAAATCAAAATTAATTTTGCATCTGTATTAATGGACTCAAACCACATGATGTACTAGTTATGTCTAACAGACATAAACAACATCATGTACTTAGTTATGTCTAACAGACATAAACCACATCATGTACTAGTTATGTCTAACAGAAATTAAACCACATGATGTACTAGTTATGTCTAACAGAAATTAAACCACATCATGTACTAGTTATGTCTAACAGACATAAACCACATCATGTACTAGTTATGTCTAACATACATAAACCACATCATGTACTAGTTATGTCTAACAGACATAAACCACATCATGTACTTAGTTATGTCTAACAGACATAAACCACATCATGTACTAGTTATGTCTAACAGACATAAACCACATCATGTACTAGTTATGTCTAACAGACATAAACCACATCATGTACTAGTTATGTCTAACAGACATAAACCACATCATGTACTAGTTATGTCTAACAGACATAAACCACATCATGTACTAGTTATGTCTAACAGACATAAACCACATCATGTACTAGTTATGTCTAACAGACATAAACCACATCATGTACTTAGTTATGTCTAACAGACATAAACCACATCATGTACTAGTTATGTCTAACAGACATAAACCACATCATGTACTAGTTATGTCTAACAGACATAAACCACATCATGTACTTAGTTATGTCTAACAGACATAAACCACATCATGTACTAGTTATGTCTAACAGACATAAACCACATCATGTACTAGTTATGTCTAACAGACATAAACCACATCATGTACTAGTTATGTCTAACAGACATAAACCACATCATGTACTTAGTTATGTCTAACAGACATAAACCACATCATGTACTAGTTATGTCTAACAGACATAAACCACATCATGTACTAGTTATGTCTAACAGACATAAACCACATCATGTACTTAGTTATGTCTAACAGACATAAACCACATCATGTACTAGTTATGTCTAACAGACATAAACCACATCATGTACTAGTTATGTCTAACAGACATAAACCACATCATGTACTAGTTATATCTAACAGACATAAACCACATCATGTACTTAGTTATGTCTAACATACATAAAACAATGACCATATTACAGTTACCTGCCACAGACACATAAAACAGTTTTCTATTACAGACACAAAAACAACAGCCATGTCTTACAAACACACAAAACATAATTACTCTTATATATATAAAACAGTGATCACTTAGAGACATACATTAAACAGTAATCTCTTATAGACATACTTTAAACAGTAATCTCTTACAGACATACGTAAAACAGTAATCTCTTATAGACATACATAAAACAGTAATCTCTTATAGACATACATAAAACAGTAATATCTTATAGACATACATTAAACAGTTATCTTTTATAGACATACGTTAAACAGTAATCTCTTATAAACATACGTAAAACAGTAATCTCTTATAGACATACATTAAACAGTTATCTTTTATAGACATACGTAAAACAGTAATCTCTTATAGACATACATTAAACAGTTATCTTTTATAGACATACGTTACACAGTAATCTCTTATAGACATACATAAAACAGTAATCTCTTATAGACATGTAAAACAGTAAACCCTTACGGACACACATAAAACAGTAATCTCTTATAGACATACGTAAAAGAGTAATCTCTTATAGACATACGTTAAACAGTTATCTTTTATAGACATACATAAAACAGTAATCTCTTACAGACATACATAAAACAGTAATCTCTTATGGACATACCTAAAACATTCATCTGTTACTGAAACACATGAAATGGTCATTTCTTACATGTACAGACATAAAAAAGCAAGTGTTAAGGTGACTATACAGGGAGGCTAGGAATTGAATAACAAATTGAATCTTTGATGGCCTTCAGAATAATCTCTATCCCCCGGACATCTGGTGTGTGAGACTTACATCAGTTAAGGTATTCGTCCATATGATTAACGTCCTCATTTCTGAGTGATTGCAGTTGCAGGTAATTTTATATTTCAAGGTCAAATGCATTTGTTGCCAAGAGCACTACTGTAATCTAGATGTAATCCGAAAGACAAGACGTCTCCCACATCTCTGGTTTAGCCTAGGGGAGCTTCAAATCTATATCTCTCCTTATTTGGAAAAAAACAGCTTAAAGACATAGCTATAACCTTGGCCTTTGGTGACCCTGTAAGACCGCTGATGACCCCTGACCTTATATTGAAATGTCAAACAGTTGTATAATCATGTGACTGCCATTGGCAGTGCCATCAGTCTACCGGGACATCGTATTGTGGATATATAGTAAAGGACGGATTAGGGACACACTTTGATAACAAACATCTCAAGAGGCTCACCATCAGATATAGGTTTGTTAGTAATTTGATTTACTGAAACTTGATTTCCCACGTATGAGATCAGTGTTAATCAGACTGACAAGAGTTGATCAACACCTAGACATCTTCACTGGTACGAACAGCTGTACCAGTGATTACCAACACACCTGGATCAACCTGCATTTCAAGCAATATAGATTCAGATTTACATTTACTGGGGAAATTCATGGCTTTTTGAGAACAATATGTTCCACTGGGCCAAAAAGGTTAATGTTTGGATAATGGTAAACAGATGATCAGTACCTTGCCATCAATCCATCTAGCAAGCCTTTAAACCAACCAGCTTTTCTCAGAGATGGAACATGAAGGTAATATACAAAAAACGAAACTTTCTTGAGTGATAAACTATTGTCCTATCTTGAATGAATGTATTACAGAACAAGAGGCCCAAGCGGCCTGTATCGCTCACCTGGAAATGTTAGCAAAATTAAAGTTGAAATAGCCCGATGTTGCTGGTAGTGTACATGTATTACATGGTTAGTCAGGGGTTATATTTATATGCAATTGGACAAAATCCTGTCATTCCTACAGTAGAAGAAGGATTTGAAGAATTTTCTATGTTTTCCTTATTGGGCCAAGTCCCTCTGCCCCCAGGGGGTCAGACCCACCGTTTATATAAAATTAGTTTCCTTCACCAAAGGATGCTTTAGAACAAATATGGACAAAATCCTGTCATTCCTAGAGAAGAATAATAATTTTAAAGCTATTTTTATATTGTTCCTATTTGGCTCTGCCCCTCTGCCCCCAAGGGGTCAGACCCATGTACCAATTTATACAAAATTAATTTTCCTTCCCATAGGATGCTACTGTTCACATTTGGTCAAAATACCTTCATCCCAACGGAAGAAGGATATTAAAGCTATTCCTCTTTATCCCTTATTGGGCTCTGCCTCCAGGAGGTTCAGACCCACCGTTTATTCAAAATTGGTTCTCCTTTACCGAAGGGTGCTTCATACTAAATTTGGACAAAATCCGGTCATTCTTAGGGAAGAAGAAGGATTTTGAAGAATTAGCTATGTTTCCCCTATTTGGCCCCGCCCCTCTGCCCTCAGGGGGGTCAGTCCAACGGTTTATACAAATTAAGTCCCCTTCACCCAAGGATGCTTTAGACCATATATGGACAAAATCCTGTCATTCCTACAGAAAAAGAATTTTTAAAGAATTTACTAAATTACCCATATTGGGCCCCACCCCTCAGGCCCCAGGGGGGGCCACACTCACTGTTTATACAAAATTGAGTCCCTTTTGCCCAAGGATGCTCTAGACCAAATTAGGATGAAATTCCTTAATCCCTATGGTAGAAGAAGGATTTTAAAGGTCTATCTCTATTTCCCCTATTGGGCCCTGCCCCTCTGCCCCCAGGGGGGGCACACCCATTGTTTATACAAAATTGAGAGCCCTTGGCCCAAGAATGCTCCAGACCAAATTTACTTAAAATCCATCAGCCATTCAGAACTAGTAGCGCTTTTAAGGAAAAAGTTGACGCATGGACAGACGGACGGACGCTGCGCCATGGCATAAGCTCACTAGAACTTCGGGCAGGTGAGCTAATGATACATACCAGACAAAGTGGAGATAAACTTTATATTGACACAAGAGGCCCAGGAGCCTTGATAACTCATCTGGATTTTTTTCAAGTTTTAAACCTGGTAAATACCATAAATGTTCATAAAAAAGAGTACAAGAAATTTTAGCTGTTACAATAAGCTATATACCTTTTGGGTCTTTTTTGCAAAATTTTATTACATTTGACCCCTGTGACTTTGAATATGGGTTAGGGTCATTCATTTGAACAAACTTGATAGCCTTTTAATCCCAGCATGCTGCTTGTTAAACATCATCAACAGACAACCCGATAGATCTTCATCCTAACATGTTACTGGCCAAATATTGTCAACATAGGCCTCATTGTTATTAAGAAGTTTTTTTAATATTTTTTTTAAACACATTTAACCCCTTGTGAAATTGATTATGGGGGAAGGTGATTCATTTGAACAAACTTGATTGCCATTTTATCCCAGTATGCTACTGGCTAAATCGCATCATCAAATTCCTTTTAGTTATTGAAGTTGTTTAAAGAGACATGTTGACGCTAGAAAGACAATAGATGCCACAACACTGCATTAGCTGATCATGTAGTCATTCAGACCAGGTCAAAGGTATAAACCAGACAAACTGGAGTTGTATATATACAGTGTTAGTCTCAGTATTATACATAAAATGTTAGTTTTTATTACAGGGTTAGTGTCCGAGTACTATACATAAAATGTTATACACTAGACAAAATGGAATTATATACCAGGTTAGCTTGTTATCTGGTAGTAGAACTACTGGATAGACAGAGGACTGACATAGGATGGACAGTGGACAGACTGCCCACATGGACGTCAGACAGACTACCTACCGGACGACGATGCCTGTTCCTCGGTCTTTGGGATACCTGGTAATACCAACAAACCTTTACCTGCGTGTCATATACATAGATTCCATAAGAGGGATGAACAGCTATATAGGATTCAGGTCAAAATGCACTTTCAGGTTGTGCATTAACCTTCATCAGAAGGATTTGATGTATGTCTTAAATATACTTGATAATTTGTTGGCCACCATTTCTAAAATGTATTGTTTTCCCAATTCCCAATGGATCTGATGTTTGTTAAGCACTATTTCCAGTATTTCAGTTTTGGTAATCGATAGCGAGGTGTGAGGTGAGGCGTTGAGCATATTGCATCCATCATATCACCTGTAGCTGGGACACCCCTCCCCAATGGGCCAGGTCCATGTCTAAAGATTATGCTATCACGCTATCTTATCAGCAAGGCAACAGGACCTCCGCTGTGGGGGCCAGACCCATGTCTGCAGCTTTGTATCCCATCAACAATGTCCTTTCAAACAACAGCTGTTGAAGACTCATCATGTTGGATAGCCATATTTTTGTTGCTGTAGATATATGGTTCTCAGGCAGCAGTTCCAGACTATATCTAAACCATCAGCCAGTTCAAGTCATTTTCTTTGTACACAAAATAATCCAGCTAAAGGTCAAGCTAAGCAACAAACTGCAGTAGTCTGGTCAAGTTCAAAACTACAGACCATGGAAGCGACCTTAACTCAGCCACTAACTGTGGCAGCCTGGTCAAGGTTAAAACTCTACAAACCATTGGTAGCCACCTAATGGACTAACTGAGCCAGATACTGCAGTAGCCTGGTCAAGGTCAAAACTACACAGACGAAGGACTTTAGCCAACACAAGTTCTAACTTAGCAACTCACTGTTGTATTCTGGTCAAGGTCATAACTCTACCGACTATTGAAGCTACCTTAAAGTCAACCTTAGCCAGACTGCAGTAGCCTGGTCAAGGTCATTGCTCTAGAGATCATGAAAACAATCTTAAGTCAGACTTAGCTACAGATTGCAGTAGCCTGGTCAAGGTCATTACGCTAAAGATGATGAAAACAATCTTAAGTCACATTTAACTTCAGAGTGCAAAAGCCTGGTCAAGGTCAAACACATTATACAACGATGAAAGAGGCAATAAGCTCAAAGTCATGACCAATAGATTGGGAAGCTAATGCTTGAAGTCAAACCCTATACACTGGAAACATGCTCAATGTAAAACTTTATCATTATATAAAAGAAGCAAACTCAAGATCAAACGATATCTACCATGGCAGCCTGCTTAAAATGATACTGATAGCAGGACAAAGTCTTATCAAAAACCCTAGTCCCCTTACCATCAAAAGACACTATTCTGAGAAGAAGTTGCATACAAAATCTGGCATGTGACAGTGTATTTGAGACATTGCAGCTGCCTCATGAAAGTAAGAATCATTTTAAATCATGGAAGTCTGATCAAAGACAAAAACCTCTGTGTGCCATGAAAGTCTGATCAACGTGAAAACATAATATGTAAACCATGGTTGTCTGGTCAACATCAAAACCTCTGTGAACCATGGTATTCTGATCAGGACCAAAACCTCTTCAAACCAGGAAGCCAACTCCTCCTCCAGGAGACTTTCCCCAGATATTTACCCCTTCAATCACACCATCATGTGACCTTCCCCAGATATTTACCCCTTCAATCAAACCATCATGTGACCTTACCTAGATATTTACCCCTTCAATCACACCATCATGTGACCTTCCCCAGATATTTACCCCTTCAATCAAACCATCATGTGACCTTACCTAGATATTTACCCCTTCAATCACACCATCATGTGACCTTCCCCAGATATTTACCCCTTCAATCAAACCATCATGTGACCTTACCTAGATATTTACCCCTTCAATCACACCATCATGTGACCTTCCCCAGATATTTACCCCTTCAATCAAACCATCATGTGACCTTACCTAGATATTTACCCCTTCAATCACACCATCATGTGACCTTCCCCAGATATTTACCCCTTCAATCAAACCATCATGTGACCTTACCTAGATATTTACCCCTTCAATCACACGATCATGTGACCTTGCCTAGATATTTACCCCTTCAATCACACCATCATGTGACCTTACCCAGATATTTACCACTTCAATCACACCATCATGTGACCTTACCAAGATAATTACCCCTTCAATCACACCATCATGTGACCTTCCCCAGATATTTACCACTTCAATCACACCATCATGTGACCTTACCCAGATATTTACCCCTTCAATCACACCATCATGTGACCTTCCCTAGATATTTACCCCTTCAATCTCACCATCATGTGACCTTACCTAGATATTTACCACTTCAATCTCACCATCACGTGACCTTCCCCAGATATTTAGGGGGTCAATCACACCATCATGTGACCTTACCTAGATATTTACCCCTTCAATCACACGATCATGTGACCTTGCCTAGATATTTACCCCTTCAATCACCCCATCATGTGCCCTTACCCAGATATTTACCCCTTCAATCACACCATCATGTGACCTCACCCAGATATTTACCCCTTCAATCACACCATCATGTTACATTACCCAGATATTTACCCCTTCAATCTCACCATCATTTGACCTTACCCAGATATTTACCCCTTCAATCACACCATCATGAGACCTTCCCTAGATATTTACCCCTTCAATCTCACCATCATGTGCCCTTACCCAGATATTTACCCCTTCAATCACACCATCATGAGACCTTCCCTAGATATTTACCCCTTCAATCTCACCATCATGTGACCTTGCCTAGATATTTACCCCTTCAATCACACCATCATGTGCCCTTGCCCAGATATTTACCCCTTCAATCACACCATCATGTGACCTTCCCTAGATATTTACCCCTTCAGTCTCACCATCATGTGACCTTACCTAGATATTTACCCCTTCAATCTAACCATCATGTGACCTTGCCTAGATATTTACCCCTTCAATCACCCCATCATGTGACCTTCCCTAGATATTTACCCCTTCAGTCTCACCATCATGTGACCTTACCTAGATATTTACCCCTTCAACCTCACCATCATGTGACCATACCCAGATTTTTACCCCTTCAATCTCACCATCATGTGACCTTGCCTAGATATTTACCCCTTCAATCACCCCATCATGTGCCCTTACCCAGATATTTACCCCTTCAATCACACCATCATGTGCCCTTGCCCAGATATTTACCCCTTCAATCACACCATCATGAGACCTTCCCTAGATATTTACCCCTTCAATCTCACCATCATGTGCCCTTACCCAGATATTTACCCCTTCAATCACACCATAATGTGACCTTACCCAGATATTTACCCCTTCAATCCCCCCATCATGTGACCTTACCTAGATATTTACCCCTTCAATCTCACGGGGGGGTGACCTTCCCCAGATATTTACCCCTTCAATCAAACCATCATGTGACCTTCCCTAGATATTTACCCCTTCAATCTCACCATCATGTGACCTTACCTAGATATTTACCCCTTCAACCTCACCATCATGTGACCATACCCAGATATTTACCCCTTCAATCTCACCATCATGTGACCTTACCCAGATATTTTCCCCTTCAATCACACCATCATGTGACCTTACCTAGATATTTTCCCCTTCAACCTCCCCATCATGTGACCATACCCAGATATTTACCCCTCAATCACACCATCATGTGACCTTCCCCAGATATTTACCCCTTCAATCACACCATCATGTTACCTTACCAAGATATTTACCCCTTCAATCTCACCATCACGTGATCTTCCCCAGATATTTACCCCTTCAATCACACCATCATGTGACCTTACCTAGATATTTAACCCTTCAAACACATTTCTTACTTTTTCTTAAAAGTACACCACAACCAATTCTAACCTTTACCAGATAACACTAATTTAAAGATGTTTTATCATCAGTTAAAAATCTAGTCAAATTATGGTTCCTATTTGATATTTCTGTAATAGCCATTAAATTATTTCAGTTTTGTAATTTAATAAATCAATAAAACAAGTTTTAGCAAACATTAATTCAATTTGCCATAATTTTAACTTAATTTATGAAATTCTAAACATACATCTAGTTTTGATTAAAGAACGATATTAGAAAATTGGACATGACTTCCTCCTAGTGAAATGTGCAAATGATTTATGTAGAATATGATAACAGTGAACATAAGATGACTCTGCCACAGCCTGGTGAGCTATGAGCAATGATGGAGATTAAGAACCTGACGGACGGCAGGATAGATCCATCACTTCAATTAGACAAACTCATGTCAGAGACAAAAAAGTCTCCAGCAATTCTCCAACATCCTTGAACATGTTACGAGTCTTCCAGTGCAGTAGAACTTTTAAATGTCCATTAGCGAATAAAAAAATAAAAATATTCCTCAATTTGTAATAGAGAATATATGTGAGGAAAGAAAAACACAATAACAAATTGCCTTGTCAGCTAGTATTAAAGTTTCCAATGAAGAAAGCTTCCATGACTTTGTAATGGAAACACTTAATACTACTTGTATATCTCATTATCCTGTCAATCTCAAGTCTATATCATGTCTGTCTTAAAGTCTATATCCTGCCTGTCTCAAAATCTTTATCCTGCCTGTCATAAAGTCTATATCATGTCTTGTCATAAAGTCTATATCCTGTCTGTCTCAAAGTCTATATCCTGTCTGTCTCAAAGTCTATATCATGCCCGTCTAAAAATCTATATCCTGCCTGTCATAAAGTCCATATCCTGTCTGTCTCAAAGTCTACATCCTGTCTGTCTCAAAGTCTATATCCTGCCTGTCATAAAGTCTATATCTTGTTTGTCAAACAGTCCATATTCTGCCTGTCTCAAGGTTGAATTTCTGTTTGTCTCACAGTCCATATTCTGTCTATCTCATAGTCAGTTTCCTGTCTGTCTTAAAGCCCCTATCCTGCCAATATACAATTTCCTTTGAAACGGATCTAGATATCATCAGACAATTAACATGTTTTACAATCTTTACATCAAAACTACCAGCAGTATCATAAATGGCACATAAATTACAATATATACTTACATCCTGTTGTCTCATCAGAGTTGTCTCCCCCTCCACAATTTTTCATCTTATTACACTTCATATCTGCACCAATGCAGTACCTAGTTCTGCTGCACATAAACCCGTAACAGGTTCCTGGAGTGGGAAAACATCAAAGGTACATTACACTATATAGCAAAAGTGAAAAAAGTCAAGAAGTTATTTTTTTTACACATTTGTAATTAATCTTTAGAAAATCTTTATATGTCTTTAGACCTGTGTCAACTATAACAAGAACCTCAAAACCCGCCAACTCTCCCTTTTTTGGAGAGAGACTTCAAATTTTGAGATCTTAAAATTGATTACTCAGTGACAGTCATCGCCGTATGATTTAACTTTCGCCAGTTTGTTACGTTGTAAACGTGAATCAGTATGAGGAGAAACGTTTGTTTACTTTCTGCGTGATTTTTGGACTTGAGGTGTGGCTGCGCTACTGTACACACTGGGAGCAAGGCAGCCTACTGATCGTTTACTGTTGTACGAATAATACCACCTTACAACTTCGTGTTTAAGGACTTGACGCACTTCCTATACAATTATAGCGAGCAAAATACTTCGCCGTGATTCGTCATTATGGTGTGAACTTGACATTGTACGTGCATTCGACCGTGCCAACCTACACCTTAGGCTATATATAACGTTAATATTTAGGCCTATCGACAATAGTTTTAAGACATGGGGTCTAAAAGTAGGAATTCTACAGTTGTTCCGTATGATCCGGTAGCTCGTTTCCGAGAGGAATTGACAAGATTGACTCTACCGTTCAGTGCCAACGGGAAACGAACGGGTTTGATAAATAATTTGAGAGACTCGAGGACAAGAGGTGCGCGATCCCACAATTTCGTGCGACAAGATGGCGACCAGGTTACTTCGAATCGATATTATTCCTCGATGGTTCGCATACGCAAATGTTGGTCGACATCGTCACTAGATTGGCAGAGAGTGTGTCAACACTACAGGACAGTTATGTCAGACTGGCAAGGCGATAAAGTGATTCCGTTACTAGCGTCGCCACAACGGTGAGTTCTGTGACAATTCTTCCCAGCGTCAAGTTTCTCCTGCAGCAGTGGCCGGCAGCGAACATCAACTCGGCACGGAATGGAGGATCCTTAACAAACCTCAAGCAGAGTACACCTTAGAGACCGCATACATGAGTTGAGAAATATACGCATCACCAGCATGCACTTTCGAAGTTTCCAGGTGAAATCCGTCCTACAGGCTCCCTGAAGAGCGAAGAATGTCGACACTGTCACAACAACAACACGTGTGTATCTTCACTGGCTGACATCTGAGGTGTCACGAACGCGACGCATTCGGTTTAAATGAACCTCGAGTCTTACTCAAGTCCTTGGTTCTTACCAGGCAGGTTCCAGGCTATCGGGCTACTCCCAGGGCTTTATGATATCGTCTATTCTGCATGCTATGTGCGCGCAATTGTGGTGTTTGGGTTCTTTTTCAGAAAACGACGAGTACCATATATCTTTGTATAGTGGGTTATTTATTTCCCCTGTATTTGTTCCCACACTTAACGCGGGAAATATATCGCGCAATGCGACAGGTGTCAGAGGTCAGTTTGTCAATGGTCAAATAGGGTGCCACACAGCCACCATGCAGCAGTTTTCAACACGTGGTCCCTTTTCTTGAGTAATTGGAACGGAGTATCCTTCTTCTTGGACGACCATTTACAGCTTCCGCTGACTAACATTTGTTCACTGATGCTACGCCTGAATCGTTCGGAGGTATATTCTTGAACAAGTGGTTTAAGGGTGTCTTCCCTCCCAGTCTTAAGAAACAAGACCCATCTCTGACACTTTTTGAACTTTACCACATAGTGATGGCTTGTGTTTTGTGGGGCCATCAGTGGCATGAGAAATGTATCTTGTTCCATTGTGACAATTTGGCCACTGTAGAAATTATTTCTAAAGTGCGCTCACAAGTGAAAAGCATAATGGGGCTTATGCGAAAACTTATACTTAAGAGTCAAGTTGCTTTTCTGCAGCACAGTAGAGTCAAGCTTCTTCTCTAGGTCTATACGATGTCAAGTCTTAGCGTCAAGTCGCTTCTCTGCAGCACAGTAGAGTCAAGCTTCTTCTCTAGGTCTATACGATTTCAAGTCTTAGAGTCAAGTCGCTTCTCTGCAGCACAGTAGAGTCAAGCTTCTTCTCTAGGTCTATTCAATTTCAAGTCATAGAGTCAAGTCGCTTCTCTGCAGCACGGTAGAGTTAAGCTTCTTCTCTAGGTCTATTCAATTTCAAGTCTTAGAGTCAAGTTGCTTCTCTGCAGCACGCTAGAGTGAAGCTTCTTCTCTAGGCCTATTCAATTTCAAGTCTTAGAGTCAAGTCGCTTATCTGCAGCACAGTGGCTCGAGTCAAGCTTCTTCTCTAGGTCTATTCGATTTCAAGGCTTAGAGTCAAGTCGCTTTTCTGCAGCACAGTAGTGTCAAGCTTCTTCTCTAGGTCTATTTGTTTTCAAGTCTTAGAAATGTGTTTTTTTTCTGCGTTCATCCAAATGGACCCCTATGGTAAAGGAGTGAACATTAAAGTGTTTGAAAACAAAGTTTTGCATCCTGTGCTCAACCATGATTCCCTATTTAGCAGCAAGGAAGGCTCAAGGAGCTATTCTGACTTCACCTTTGTTTATTGAAAACATGTTTGTTTTTCCAAACCGTTGATGCGTCAGACTTTCATATCGTACCTCAAAGAAACTCTGACTCGTATAGGTATCAACAGCCATGATTTTAATGGACATTCCTTTTCGTATTGGTGTGGCTACCTCAGCAGCTGCCGCCGGTGTCCAGGATCATGGTATTCAGACTTTGGGTAGATGGTCATCTGACTGTTTTACTCGTTATATCCGAACAGATCCTGCTACAATTTGTAACAGCTTCATTCGCATCGGAGATATATCTGTGTTCCCGGACAAGTCTCAGTTTCACCTGTGTTTCCATTCCTCTAAAACTGACCCTTTTGGAAAAGGAGTTGTCATCAAGATATTTGAGAACACTGTTTTAACTCCTGTGGTTACTATGTGTGAGTTTTTGACCACTCGTGTTACTCAAGGGGCTACCCCTTTGTCGCCCCTTTTGCTAGACAATGTGTTGAAATTAACGTCAAACCTTTAATGCGTCATACTTTATCTTAGTTAAAAGAAACACTGACTCGTATAGGTGTGGATCATCGATCTTTTAATGGTCATTCTTTCCGGGTTGGTGCTGCCACCTCCGCAGCGGCTGCTGGCGTTGAGGATCATGTCATTCAAACCTTGGGTAGATGGTCCTCCAACTGCTATATACGTTATATTCGTACGGATCCTACCGTTATTTCAAATGCACAAAAATATGACCTTGTCCAACTGAAATCATTTCATGTTTTACTTTGTGCTTGTTTTCTTGTTCTTTATACCTCAATCTTCAAATTTAGTTATTATTACCTAGTTTATATTAAGTATTGGGGGCTCTCACTCACTAGTAATTTCCAATTCCTCGTTTCGTTCCACTTGGGTTTTAATTTCTGGGGAATTTTTCCCCCAATACTTTTCTGTAATATTATTTACTTATCTGTTGATTATTTTACTGCTTTTGCTTTAATTTTTCTGTCTATTCTTGATATTCTTGAATCGCTCAGGAGTTTCGTCTTGCCAGCTCTTAAATCGCTTAAGTCTGGTGGTCAGTTTGCATCTCTTGAATCGCTCAAGGCAAAAGCTCTCTGCTTTTAAATCGCTTAAAAGTTTTCTTTACTACTTATATATATATGAGTATTTTATATGCAGCTCTTGAATCGCTCAAGGGTTTGCTAGATATCTACATGTATACTGTCTTGAATCGCTCAAGAGTTGTCTGGCCTACTTAAAATATATTGCTGAGAATATATATTTTTTTTCCTTGTGGCCTCTTTCTTTGCTTAGGAGGCTACCTCGTCAGTACACGTTTGTTTTTGTAGTATTGTATATAGTAAGCTTATAGTGTTGAGTGAGTAGCCCCTGATACGCCAAAGTATAAGTTTGTATTTTCTTTTTATCTTGCTATCTGCCTCATTTAAATATCTCGAATTGTAATAAACAGGTAAACTGTTGTTTCATCGTTTTTGTTGTGTATAAACATTTGCCAATGACAAACATTTCCAAAAAGACCAGAGAAAAGGATTGGATATGGGAGAAGACATGAAGTAAAGACAAGTACAGAACACTTACCAGCAGATTCTGTGTGGATCTCTGTCCAGCTTATTTCAAATCCTTTCCCCCCTAAAGAGTTACCAGATGTAAGGAATCTAAAATAGACAAAGTTAATCATCAGTTAACAGAAAAATATTAAATTTGTAACCATGTTGAAACAAAATGTCTTAAGAGCTTAAGAAATACACAATAATAAAATTACGAATACAAATTCTACCAAACAGGACATTTACACTTAATATTTTTCATCTGTGATATATTTTATATTGATGTGAAAGAAAACATGAAATAAGGGATAACAAATTATATGATAAAACTGAAGGCCTTTTAGTTAATGTGACTTTAGTCAGACTAAGTGACCATTACGATAACTAGACTTTGATATGACTTTAGTCAGACTAAGTTCATTCATTCATATCTTTATTCCTCCAAATTTGAAGAGTTACAAATGACATATATATGGGTTACAAAAATAGATACACAAAAGACATAAGTATAAGGTAAAATGAAAAAGAAAAAAACGTGGAATCAAACAAAAAAAGTTGCATGATTACACAATATATGAGGTACACAACGATAAATAAAGACATACACAGGACTATATCAAACAGCAAGGGAACATGTATGTAACGACAGGACTGTCAAATTGCCAGGATGAACCAGATATAATACGAATGCATATGATTTACATGTCTGGCAGACTATCGTCGTTAATTAAATGTAAGAAGGGATACTTTTTCAGCATAAATACAACAATCTCTTGCAAAAGATGCGAAAAGGCTGTCCTCATTAACAAATATGTCTTTCATGGCAGCAGATGGACTGCCGAGGAATGTCGCAATTTGCACCTCCCTACATGAGTTAGCAAGAACAACATACACATTCACCGGATAATCGTTGACTATCTTGGTGAAAAGTTCATCACGTAGAGTTAGCAATGTGGGACTACGGCAGTCTAAAATACAATGCGCAACTGCATCTTCTGCAAAGATATTGCACTGGGCACATGATAGTTCACTATTAGGTGGAATACCCCATAGCTTTGCAACGTTTTTACACGTTGTGTTGAGATAAGGGAAACATTTAGATAGGTACCATAGTGGCGAAGGGCTGATCTCACAATGTAGGTGTTTAAATCTTAAGAACTCATCACAAGCATTGAGACGTTCACTCCATTGCGAGGAGTACTCACCTAATACGACACCTTTTGTGAAGTGTTTCCAATAGTTTTTAACCGGGACAAACCCAGTTTGCAAAAATTGGTACAAAAAGTCTTGTAGATCATATTTGTGAAGTATGTTCCAGATGTCTAGAACAAAACCTTTTTCGTTACAACAAATGCCAAAATATACATGAAAAAGTCTCAGTAAGAACAATCTCTTTGCTGTAAAACGTGCATCTGTTCTGCATAAAGCAGAGAAGAATCGAAGTTTCGATAGTTCAATGTTTAGACGTATGGACGTAAGTCCAAGCATACTAAGGACAATATCTGATCTAGTGCGCTGCGGAAAACCTTGAATGAGCTTTGCACACAAATGGTGAACTGTTTCAATGCGATTCCATTCGGTCTCGGAAAGTGAATACCAGAGTTCACTAAATGACCATTACGATAACTAGACTTTGATGTGACTTTAGTCAGACTAAGTGACCATTATGATAACTAGACTTTGATGTGACCTCATTACTTACTCTAAATCCATAGTATCATCTTGAGACATAAATGTTGTTTCATCGTCTAGTGTCCCACAGAGTTCTAAAGCTGGATAGCTAGACCCATTATTTAATTTCATTACTGCATTCTGACAGCCTACAACAGCTCCAACCCCTAAAAAGTCAAACAACATGATATTTGACATGTGTGTTAAATTATAGTTTATATACAACTTTTATTGCTCCCTTGCTTATATATATCATAGGTTGTTTTTCTACAGTGGAACAGTTAGATATATATGTGTGAATTTACTTAAGTTCATTTCCTTGTTTACGTGTGGTAATATTCTTGTATCTAGGTTTTTCATGTTTATGTTTTTATGCAAATTAGGGGAGTGTTAACCAATCAGCATTAACCCCTAGAGGGTATGTGGTATTGTCAGTGCCCCTCATTATTGATTTCCGGCGGGTGTTGGTGTGTTTGCCTTAAGCGTACCCACCCACCTATCCCAGCTGCTCCCTGAGCTTTGTTGTAACTAATAAGCTATATATGTTTGATTATTTTACTTCTGCCATCTTTTGTATTCTTTTGTGATGATCATGTGATGTATCTGTTTTCATTGAAGTTTCCGTTGTTACTTATAATATTGTATACAGGGTATCTTGTGTTACCATTGGGTTACTCACTCTTTTATCCCTAGGGTTTTAATTCCTCGGGAATTTTCCCCTCAATACTTTTCTGTAATATTATTTACTTATCTGTTGATTATTTTACTGCTTTTGCTTTAATTTTTCTGTCTATTCTTGATACTACTTGGCTCTTGAATCGCTCAGGAGTTTCGTCTTGCCAGCTCTTAAATCGCTAAAGTCTGGTGGTCAGTTTGCCTCTCTTGAATCGCTCAAGGCAAAAGCTCTCTGCTTTTAAATCGCTTAAAAGTTTTCTTTACTACTTATATATATGAGTATTTTATATGCAGCTCTTGAATCGCTCAAGGGTTTGCTCTAGATATCTACATGTATACTGTCTTGAATCGCTCAAGAACGTTCACTAGATATTTACATTTGGCCTGTCTTGAATCGCTCAAGAGTTGTCTGGCCTACTTAAAATATATTGCTGAGAATATATATATTTTTTTCCTTGGGGCCTCCTTCTTTGCTGAGGAGGCTACCAAAGTATAAGTTTGTATTTTCTTTTTATCTTGCTATCTGCCTCATTTAAATATCTCGAATTGTAATAAACAGGTAAACTTTTGTTTCATCGTTTTTGTTGTGTATAAAGTGAACATTAAAATAAGAAATGTAACGTTTGTTACTTGATAAACTTAATCGGAATACAATCTGGCTATGTTATTTTAAGCACTGCACTGTAATTAACTAATACTGATTTCATTTAACTTTTTTTTTATACTCGGCATCACATAATTTTTAATAATAGACATCTTCCTTTGAAAAAAAAAAGTACCCAACATACAATCTTAGTGTTGGGAAATCAGTTAACAAAAGAAACCAACATACAATCTTAGTGTTGAGAAATCAGTTAACAAAAGTAACCAACATACAATCTTAGTGTTGAGAAATCAGTTAACAAAAGTAACCAACATACAATCTTAGTGTTGAGAAATCAGTTAACAAAAGTAACCAACATACAATCTTAGTGTTGAGAAATCAGTTAACAAAAGAATTTCTAACATCTACTAACAAAGCTGGATTATCTTCAAACAATCAAACTTGAGTTAAAGTTTTTACTTACGTCCTATACCAGAGGTCCTGCCCTCTAAACGGAACATGTAAAAATGTACCATAATCCTGTTGCTTTTCCGCTTTGCACGGATACTCCATTTACAATATACTCTGTTGGTATACTTGCCCGGATACCGGGGACTTTTTAGTATACCCCCTCCCCCCGAGCTGATGATACTCCGCCCACAATCTACAAGAAGCACAAGTAACGTAATTTTGAAAAAATATAATTTATCAAAAATCTTGAAATTAGCTTTGAAAAAAATAACTTAGAATATGTTTAGCACTGGTTCCATTGATACATTATCATCCAGTAATGTCATTTATACATTATTATCCAGTAATGCCATTGATACATTATTATCCAGTAATGTCATTTATACATTATTATCCAGTACTGTCATTTATTCATTATTATCCAGTAATGTTGTTTATACATTATTTTCCAGTACTGTCATTTATACATTATTATCCAGTACTGTCATTTATACATTATTATCCAGTAATGTCATTTATACATTATTATCCAGTAATTTCGTTTATACATCATTATCCAGTAATGCTAGGTAATCAAGCTGTGAAATCCTAACACTAATTCTCAATAAATGTGATGATGGGCATTAAGTTGTTAAAGAATACTTTTACTTAGTATCACTATCAAGAGTTGAGATGTGATTTTAAGCTGTAAAAAATTTACTGACACAAAGTCTTACTATCATTTGAAAACTTACGTGTGTGCATCTGGTTATCCTTCAGATACTCAAAATGTGCTTGGAATTTTGAGTTACCTCCCCTGTCCTGAGAATGGTACACAATCTCCATGTTATGTTGGCCAATGATGGGTGCTGGATAACGCTGACCACAATATCTATTTAATAATCTTCTGGACTTCCCTGTTCCAACATATATTTCCAGATAATCTGTATTTATACATCTGAAAAAAATAAAATAATAAAAAGATTAATTAATTTATGTGATAATCAATCACCTAACCTTATGGCACTATCTTTTTATTAAGTTGGAAGCATTTATAATTTAATGAACACCCACTGACCTGGTGTGGTGACATAATCTGCTTAACATTTGTGGATTTATTTGAAATACTATCTCGAAAATTGATTGAGTAGTAACTGAGAGTACCTATTTCTTGCCATTTTACAAAACAAAAGTTTCTAAAGTCAGTAAGTCAATAAGTAGGAAAATACAATTTTATTTAATTCTGTCAGCATGAACATCTTTCACTTGTATAGGAGTGTCAAATGTATAGTCATTTGCACCCTTCTGTACATTAAGGGGTCTAATGGTCACCTGAAAATATACGATTATTAGAGGTTTGGGCAGCGTTTTAAATATGTTTGGCAAAAAAGTTGATATCACACAGACACTAACATACAAAACCATGAGGGACTAGCCTTTGAAAATTTGGAATTTTCAGCAAATTTAAACTGCCTGTTACATAGAATGTACCAGTTCTCAATCATCCCTAAGAAGTTTCCGTTAAATAGGCCCATTAGAACTTGAGTTTACATTTGAAATAGATTTTCAAAATGGCGGCTGTGGTGGCCATATCAGATTTCTGATCAACTTGAAAATACACACTTTCTTAGGGTGATGCCAGTAACATCCCCATAGACATCAGTGACATCCCTTCAGTAATATATTAGTATAAGTAGAAAATGTAACGTGTTAACTTATGAAGGAATGATTGAACAACAAATGGTGATGGACAGACGATGATGGGCGGACGATGATGGGCGGAGGCGGACGATGATGGGCGGACGATGATGGGCGGACGATGACAGCTCAGGTGACCTAAATAGGTGTGAGAATATCTGGTATATCAGTCTTACTGATATGATACTTGGTGACATACTTACGATGAATTATAACTTCCCAGAGAAAATGAGTCGAATGATATGAGGAGCTTTTCCGTGGACTCGGGACGGAATATGTAGTTACATTGTTGGCACTTAGGGCTGCTCCATGAATGTCTCGGAGAATTAAATGCCCCAGATTTTTTTTTTTTACTGTCATACACAAATATACATTGGTTTGGATCTGGCTGGTCACCGGGAATACCACAATCTGTAGGAACAGAAACAAGGACAAAATAAATATCTAGTCATGCAGGAGTATCACGATCTGTAGGAACAAAAATAGGGACAAAATAAATGTCAAGTCACCCCAAGTATAGAATATCAGTACACATGAGTATCACAAATACTGTGTATTACACAAAGTTGTAATAGAAAAACATCCTGAAAAACAAACTATTCTTAAAAACGACCCACTTAAAACGACTGCAGGTATAATTTCATATTACTTTTAGTGCACTGCTCAAAGTCATCATACAGTAAAAAGAATTTTATAGTAATTGGCAGAGGTATTGGCAATGTCTACAGTAAAACCTCAATAGCATGATTACCTATATTTTCAAAGTAAGAAGTAAAATCTGTAGTAACACCTCTTTTATTCTCCAACCTATGACCATAGAGACTAAAGCCTGGAGACACCTACCAACAACCATGGAGACACAAACCTAGCGAGACCTACCAACAAACATGGAGACACAAACCTAGAAAGACCTACAAACAACCATGGATACACAAACCTAGAGAAAACTACCAACAACCATGGAGACACCAACCTAGAGAGACCTACTAACAACCAAGGAGACACAAAACTGGAGAGATACTACCAACAACCCTTGAGACAAAAACCTAGAGAGACCTACTAATGACCATGGATACACAAACCTGGAAAGACTTACCAACAACCATGGAGACACAAACCTGGAGAGATACTACCAACAACCATTGAGACAAAAACCTAGAGAGACCTACTAATGACCATGGATACACAAACCTGGAAAGACTTACCAATTACCATGGATACACAAGCCTAGAGAGACCTACCAACAACCATGGAGACACAAACCTAGAAAGACCTACCAATAACCATGGAGACACAAACCTGGAGAGACCTACCAACAACCATGGAGACACAAACCTAGAAAGACCTACCAACAACCATGGAGACACAAACATGGAGAGATACTACCAACAACTATGGAGACACAAACCTTGAGAGATACTACCAACAACCAAGGAGACACAAACCTGGAGAGATACTACCAACAACCAAGGAGACACAAACCTAGAGAGACCTTCAAACAACCAAGGAGACACAAACCATGAGAAATACTACCAACAACCAAGGAGACACAAACCTAGAAAGACCTACCAACTACCATGGAGACACAAACATGGAGAGATACTACCAACAACTATAGAGACACAAACCTAGAGAGACTTACCAACAATCATGGAGACACAAACCTAGCGAGACCTACCAACAACCATGGAGACACAAACCTAGAAAGACCTACCAACAACCATGGATACACAAACCTAGAGAGACCTACCAACAACCATGGAGACACCAACCTAGAGAGACCTACTAACAACCATGGAGACACAAAACTGGAGAGATACTACCAACAACCATGGATAAACAAACTTAGAGAGACCTACCAACAACCATGGAGACACAAACCTAGAGAGACCTACCAACAAACATGGAGACACAAACCTAGAGAGACCTACCAACAACCATGGAGACACAAACCTGGAGAGATACTACCAACAACCATGGAGACACAAACCTGGAGAGATACTACCAACAACCAAGGAGACACAAACCTGGAGAGATACTACCAACAACCAAGGAGACACAAACCTGGAGAGATACTACCAACAACCAAGGAGACACAAACCTGGAGAGATACTACCAACAACCAAGGAGACACAAACCTAGAAAGACCTACCAATAACCAAGGAGACACAAACATGGAGAGACCTACCAACAATCATGGAGACACAAACCTGGAGATATACTACCAACAACTATGGAGACACAAACCTAGAAAGACCTTCCAACAACCAAGGAGACACAAACATGGAGAGACCTACCAACAATCATGGAGACACAAACATGGAGATATACTACCAACAACTATGGAGACACAAACCTAGAAAGACCTTCCAACAACCAAGGAGACACAAACATGGAGAGACTTACCAACAATCATGGAGACACAAACCTGGAGAGATACTACCAACAACTATGGAGACACAAACCTGGAGAGATACTACCAACAACCAAGGAGACACAAACCTGGAGAGATACTACCAACAACCAAGGAGACACAAACCTGGAAAGACCTACCAATAACCAAGGAGACACAAACATGGAGAGACCTACCAACAATCATGGAGACACAAACCTGGAGATATACTACCAACAACTATGGAGACACAAACCTAGAAAGACCTTCCAACAACCAAGGAGACACAAACATGGAGAGACCTACCAACAATCATGGAGACACAAACATGGAGAGATACTACCAACAACTATGGAGACACAAACCTAGAGAGATACTACCAACAACCAAGGAGACACAAACCTGGAGAGATACTACCAACAACCAAGGAGACACAATCCTGGAGAGATACTACCAACAACCCAGGAGACACAAACATGGAGAGATACTACCAACAACCAAGGAGACACAAACCTGGAGAGATACTACCAACAACTATGGAGACACAAACCTGGAGAGATACTACCAACAACCAAGGAGACACAAACCTGGAGAGATACTACCAACAACCAAGGAGACACAAACCTGGAGAGATACTACCAACAACCAAGGAGACACAAACCTGGAGAGATACTACCAACAACCAAGGAGACACAAACCTGGAGAGATACTACCAACAACCAAGGAGACACAAACCTGGAGAGATACTACCAACAACCAAGGAGACACAAACCTGGAGAGATACTACCAACAACCAAGGAGACACAAACCTGGAGAGATACTACCAACAACCAAGGAGACACAAACCTGGAGAGATACTACCAACAACCAAGGAGACACAAACCTGGAGAGATACTACCAACAACCAAGGAGACACAAACCTGGAGAGATACTACCAACAACCAAGGAGACACAAACCTGGAGAGATACTACCAACAACCAAGGAGACACAAACCTGGAGAGATACTACCAACAACCAAGGAGACACAAACATGGAGAGATACTACCAACAACCAAGGAGACACAAACCTAGAGAGACCTACCAACAACCAAGGAGACACAAACATGGAGAGACCTACCAACAACCAAGGAGACACAAACCTGGAGAGTGCTACCAACAACCAAGGAGACACAAACCTAGAGAGATACTACCAACAACTATGGAGACACAAACATGGAGAGATACTGCCAACAACCAAGGAGACACAAACATGGAGAGACCTACCAACAACCATGGAGACACCAACCTAGAGAGATCTACCGAGACTTACCAACAACCATGGAGACATAAATCTTGAGAGATTTATCTCAACAACCATAGAGTCATAAGCTCTGAGTTATGCAGAGATTTGTCAATGGAGACACATTTATCAATGACCAAGGAGACATACCTTCATTGATTCACCAATTCACACAGAGACACAAACATTAACTGACTTACAAATTACCACAGAGACACAAATGTTAACAGATTTACAAATGACCACCGACACACAAATGTTAACTGATTTACAAATGACCACAGACACACAATGTTAACTGATTTACAAATGACCACAGAGACACTAATGCTAATTGACTTTCAAATGACCACAGAGACACAAATGTTAATTGATTTACAAATGACCACAGAGACACAAATGTTAATAAATTCAAAAATGACCACAGAAACACAAATGTTAACAGATTTACAAATGACCACAGACAAAAAATGTTAACTGATTTACAAATGACCACAGAGACACAAATGTTAATTGACTTTCAAATGACCACGGAGACACACATGTTAATTGATTTACCAATGACACAGCGACACAAATGTTAATCGACTTTCAAATGACCACGGAGACACAAATGTTAATTGATTTACCAATGACACAGAGACACAAATGTTAATTGACTTTCAAATGACCACGGCGACACAAATGTAATTTGATTTACCAATGACACAGAGACACTAATGTTAACAGATTTACAAATGACCACAGACACACAAATGTTAACTGATTTACAAAGACCACAGACACATAAATGTTAATTGATTTACCAATGACACAGAGACACTAATGTTAATTGACTTTCAAATGACCACAGACACATAAATGTTAATTGATTCACCAATGACCACAGACACACAAATGTTAATTGACTTTCAAATGACCACAGACACATAAATGTTAATTGATTCAACAATGACCACAGAGACACAAATGTTAAATGATTTACCAATGGCACAGAGACACTAATGTTAACAGATTTACAAATGACCACAGACACACAAATGTTAATTGACTTTCAAATGACCAGACACATAAATGTTAATTGATTCACCAATGACCACAGAGACACAAATGTTAATTGATTTACCAATGGCACAGAGACACTAATGTTAACAGATTTACCAATGACACAGACACACAAATGTTAACTGATTTACAAATGACCACAGAGACACAAAGGTTAATTGATTTACCAATGACACAGAAACACTAATGTTAACTGATTTACGAATGACCACAGAGACACAAATGATAATTGATTTACCAATGACACTGAGGCACTAATGTTAACTGATTTACAAATGACCACGGAGACACAAATGTTAATTGATTCACCAATGACCACAGAGACACAAATGTTAAATGATTTACCAATGACACAGAGACACAAATGTTAACAGATTTACAAAGACCACAAACACACAAATGTTAACTGATTAACCAATGACACAGAGACACAAATGTTAACTGATTTACAAATGACCACAGAGACACAAATGTTAAATGATTTACCAATGACAAAGAGACACTAATGTTAATTGATTTACAAATGACCACAGAGACACAAATGTTAACAGATTTACAAATGACCACAGACACACAAATGTTAACAGATTTACAAAGACCACAGACACACAAATGTTAACTGATTTACCAATGACACAGAGACACTAATGTTAACTGATTTACAAATGACCACA